CTGATATGGGGCAGAATTGAAAAAAAAGGGGGGGATGACCCATTCCTTAATCTATCAGTATATCACACAGTTACGTCTGCACAAGAGGGCAGAGGAGAAGAGACAACCTTAATAGTGCAGCTTATTTTCAGTTAATTCCAGGCTAGAGATTTTTTTATTATTTGGTTGGGGGTTTTGGGCATGGTTTGGGGGGTTTTAAGTTTATTTTGTTGGGTTTTGTTTGGGGTTTTTTTGTTTTGTTTTGTTTTTTTTTCCTGAGGTCAAGTACCCCACTGGATACACTCAGTCCCAGCTGAAAAGACACACTGCTTAAACTTCAATTCCCCCTGCCCAATAAGATACAAATCCCAAGAGTTGCAATTTCTTTAAGTACTAACTGCTAATTTATTTGGAACTATTCCCAAAGAATGGCAGAGGATACCTGCAATGAAAATAGGGGGTTTTGAGACAAAATTGCACCGTTATGATTTAATGACAATGAAAAGGAAGGCTGGGCTCTTTTAAGCTTGAGTGACAAGACGTGCAGATCTCATTTTCCATTCTAAAGAAACTGCTAGTGAAAGGGTCTGGACTGAGTGTGCTAGAGGGTGCAAGTACAAACAGAGGTCAACCTCTGTGTCAAACTCCTGCTGACTTCCTAACCAGAACTGTACAACAACATTCACTGTCACACCTTGAGCTCTACAAATTGTAGACAGTTGTTTTTTGGTTTGTTTGTTGTTTTTTTTTTTTTAAGCCAGGCATTCACCCAGATTCTTCTACTGAAAGATTTCTTCTAGTTCAAGTGAGCCAGAAAACCAATTTAATTGCACTCCTGTTCCTTGGGCCAGGGAAAATTCAGGAACTTCACTCCCGCACTGCTTTAAGGAAAAACAGGAGCTTCCCAGTGAAGCAATGCAGACAACATAGACTAGCATCCTGCAAAGAGCAGACTCATGCAGCAGTGCTATTTATTATCCAAGATGTAAAGCAACAACTCTGGGCCAAAAACATGTCTCGTCTTTAGGAGGAACTTCAGCCCTGATATCTAGATCTTTGCTTACCTTAACTATATTAGTTAATCAGAAAACTGCTTCCAACCACGAGGAAAAACCCTGAACAGAAGAGGCAGAACACATAACTGAGTACTCTTGAGTAATCCCAACAAACCCCAACCCAACGCTGCAGTACCTGGGCATCAGCTAGAGCAATCCTTATCACAAAAGGTGGAAGGTCAGAATGCAATGATAGAAGAGAGACAAGCACAGCCAAAATGGGAGAAAAGAATGTAAACTGATAGCACCAAGTCCAGTCCTGAGAGGACACCCTGGGCACTAAGATCTTTTACAGGCTTCTGTCCTAAGCAATGGCAAGGATTTAAGGTAATGAAGCAACTGTGCTTTTTACTGAGGCTAATAGTTACTGCAAAAGGGGTGAGGAAAATCAGTTAATTAAATACATATCGCCTGCACATTGCTATCATATTGCTTTTTCAGTGGTTTTTAAGCTCCCACATGGCATGATCTTTCATGACTGTCACTAGCAGACCATTATTCCTGTCCTTCCTTCTGCTCTCTGCGTATGCAGCTAGATAAATTAATCCTTTAAGACACAGCAGGACTACAGCTGCTACCTCCTCTGCTCTCTGTGTATGCAGCTAGATAAATTAATCCTTTAAGTTAAGACACAGCAGGACTACAGCTGCTACCTCAGAACACTCCTCAGCATGCCTAGGAAAGCAGTAAACTAAGGGGTTGAAATGGAAAATGTTAAACTTCTTCCACAAACCACATTCACCTTCCAACATCCACTAAAAGGAAGTGTGTTGGTAAGTCCTGTTGGAGTCACCTCCAGAGGAAGTTTTGACTCCGCGCTGTTACTGATGGTTCACACACCACCCTTTGAAGTACTGAATTTCTTAATTGGTTCACTCCTGTTTAGACAACTGCAGACTAAACAGGGGTCTAAAACTTCTAAAGTCTCCTTTGAAATTAAAGAAAAATCTTATTTTCTTTAACAGGGAGCAAAGGACAAGAACAGAAAACTATATGGCTCTTTTTCACCGTGGTTCACAGAGCTTTTACAGAGTGGTAAAAAGAATACAAAGAGTATTTTATTTCATTTCATAACATGGTTCTGCTTTCCACATTATAGAAGAAACACAGAATACTCCATTATCAGTAAAGACAGGTTTATGCCTTATTTCCACATAATACCATCTTTTCTTCATTGAAAACCTTCCTTGAAAGTTATTCAGGTTTCCTTTGTGGTTGGTTTTGGGTTTGTTTTGTTTTGGGGTTTTTTTTGTTTTGGTTTGGTTTTTTTTTTTAAACAAATTGCTTTTTGCCTACAATGAAACAAGCAAACTCAAATATACAAAAGCACACAGCTTTTCATTTTCTTCCTAGAAGCAGATAAATGTACATTTCATTTTATTTACCTTCCTATTCCTTGCTCCTTCTGAAAGAAAACAAGATTTCCTTGATTTCATATCAAAGCAGATTTTAGAGCTCTCAAGCAACAGATGAAACAGTAGTGGGAAAAAAAAAAATCAACAATTAAATTTGATCTGTGAACCATCAGCAGCAGAGTAGAGTAGAAGGTGGTGTTGGACTGACTGAAAAGTTATTGGTATTCCTCATCCACTTCCAAGTTCAACAGTTAACCAAAAACAATGGGGAGAAAGAAGCACCAAGAACAATAAACAAGTGGTAATTTGGACCCTGGTAAGTCTTTAGGTAAGTTTGTCTGCTACAAGCCCCTACAAGATTTTCCAATTGATAAGTACTTCACAGACCAAGGAAAAAAACAGCTTTTCAAGACCTGGAGACTTCCAAGCCTGAGATCTGAGATGGTCTCAGAAGCTGATTATTCTCTCTACAGCCCAGCTCCTAGCACTGTTTAAGAAATGGGCAGGGTAGTTACATCAGGTATCTTTTCTGAGGAAAGTGCCCATTCCATACCAAAAACTCTGCTGCTTTAGCTCTGGTTAAGACAGGTGCATAAGCACAGCAAAGGTACCACTAAGACTGTTTTGGTAAGATACTTCGTTTTCTTTCACTGATCCAAACAGTTTGCAGATCAGATAATGCTGTGAGCAGAGTAAAGGCTCGACTTTACCCTTGCTTTTCCTCTCTATTTAGAAAATTACAGGTAAGTCCACCAACATGCAAGAAAAAAAAAAAAAAAGACTTTATGTGTATATACATATATATAAAAACTTACTCTAACATCTGATAAAAAACCAAAATGGCCAACTATTCCTTCTTTCTTCCTCCTCCTGTGCCTCTCATTTCCCCTTCAAACAAAGAACAGCCTTTTATTTCACCAAGCCTTCCTTCAGAATTCATTACTGTCACGAAGACCCTTCTTCCAACATCTGTAAGTCAGTAACTATATCTGCCTTTTCTAGTGTGAGGCATTAGGAATAAGAGGGCATTTTATTTTTCCAAAGCTAAGTCGTTTATTAAATCCTCAACTTCTCCAAGACCATAAAATCACTTTTCAGAGAATCCCAGACTGGTTTGGGTTGGAAGGGACCTTAAAGCTCATCCAGTCCCAACCCCCCTGCCAGCAGCAGGGACACCTTCCACTAGACCAGGTTGCTCAAAGCCTCATCCAACCTGGCCACAAACACTTCCAGGGAGGAGCAGCCACAGCTTCTCTGGCCAACCTGGGACACTGTCTCACCACCCTCACACCAAACAATTTCTTCCTAATATCTCATCTAAACCTCCCCTCTTTCATCTTAAACCCATTTTCCCTTGTTCTGTCACTCCCTGCCCTTGGCCAAAGTCCCTCCCCAGCCTTCCTGGAGCCCCTTCAGGTACTGGGAGGCCACTAGAAGGTCTCCCTGGAGCCTTCTCCAGGCTGAACAGCACCAACTCTCTCAGCCTGTCCTCACAGCAGAGCTGCTCCAGCCCTCGCATCATCCTCGTGGCCTCCTCTGGACTTGTTCTAGCTGCTCCAGGTCTCTCTTGTGATGGGGGCTCCAGAACTGGACGCATCATACACACAAAAAGATTAACAGGAATTCATCTGTCTATGTATTGGAGAAAGAGGTATGAGGTTTTTTTGTCCTCCCTTTTTTCAGAACACCTGTGTGGATGTGCAATTAGGTGCAAGTTTTTACTTCCCCAAGTGGTGACCTCACTATTCTTTCTAAATGCTTAGGACCAGAAGGTCAAACACGTGCAGTTTGTTCTACTGCACTAGCATAGTCTTCACAACACTGTTTTAGAGACCGCAAAGCAGATCTAGCAATGACCATTCAGAACATTTCTAGCACTACAATTCTGCTTCCTACATTCAAGGTCTGTATGTTCCACTTAGCCTAGTCAGATGGGCAAACTCACATCTCTTGCTTGCCTTCTCAGCCTTCTTTGGTTTCACTCACAATGCCTCCACCACCACCGCTACACTTACCCGCGCTTTTCAGGGTGAAAAATCTTCCTGCTGTTTATCAAATATTTCCACTGCATAATTACAAGTGCACCCGACACACAGTAGCTAAAGGCCATTTGGCATTCAGTAAACTATTAACTTAAAAATCACTGTAGGTAACAATTTATGATTTCCCTTGGCAAGCAGCTAAGCCAGAGTGTTCTGAATTTGTAATCCAGCTTTTATTTCAGAGAACAAAGTTAGCAGCTAATCGTCAAGACTTAAGTACTTCCACCATCCCCTGAGTGGCTTAGCAAATAATCTGTTATTACTCTAATGTCTTTTGTTGTTTAGTTTTGGTTGTTTTTTGGTTTGTTTGTTGTTTTTTTAACCCTATGCAGTACCTTCTCATGAAGGAAGAGTATGAACACATGCAAAATTTTATTTCCATTCACATATTTTACAGGCTTTTGACTGTTTGGTAAGTTGAACCATTCTATACCTTCCCACCCATCCCCAGAAAACCTCTCCTCAGATTCTCTTTTTCCCCCCACACACACTTGCACAGTACCATGCTACCCAGCTGTACTCCTTTGCTGCTAGTAGTAGTAGTTGTGGAATTAGTAGTGGGGACTTACACTGGTCACTCGACGGTAGATCTGCGCAGCATTTTGGCACTCGGAATAAGGATACTCAGACGTGGCCATCTCTAGCATACACATCCCAAAAGCATATACATCAACGGATTCATCATATTTCTCCTCATACATCTCGGGGGCCATGAACTCTGGGGTACCTTAAATTAAAAGAACGATTCAGACTCTAAATGTCTCAAAGCGAGCAGAGGCTGCTGGCGTTACTCACCGCAGGAGGAAGCGGATGGGCAGACCTGTGAGACAAGAGAAAGTGGAGGCAAAAAAGAAGAGGGGGGGGAAAACCCTTAGTCACTCTGTTGCAGCAACATACTCTGTGAGTCTTCCATTGCAAGGCCTTTACGAAATAAGAATGGCACGAAAGGACTGATAAAAATCCTGCTTTGTGTTAATATAAGGACCAAAACAGGCTGGATCAGGCTGGAGTCAAATGGAGAGGAGTGGATAAGAAGAGAGGAAAGCTGTAGACCTAGCCATAGGCTCCAAACCAAATACTAAGGAGAGTTAAGACACTTACCTTTTCTCCCTGTAAGAAAAGAGGCACATTAAACCTCGTTGCCAAAAAAATTACCCGACTGCCCTCTGCTGCAAAAGAAGTAGCATTGGTAAGAGCCCACAGCTAGTCTCTGACCTGGTGCTCTCCATCTACTGTCTAAAGTAGAATCATTCACGAAAGGCCTTGCAATGAAAAACTCTGTTGTTACAAATATAAACCTTCATGAAAAAAAAAAAAAAGGGTAAAAAGTAATTTTCTGCAAAGGCCACTCACCAGAGCCCTTTTCATATACTTACCTTCCCACCTGCAGTATATTTATAGGCCTACTGCAGATACAGGCATTAGTGAGGGACATCCTACGGTCAAAAATACTCAGAAATACAGAGAGATTGAGTTACAGGCAGAGAGCGTGAGATTCAACAAGTCCCATTTAAATAGTGTGCAGAAAATTATTGCCTAGTGAAGCATCCCAGTGTCCCCTCTGGAAGCAGAGGGACTGCGTTGTATGATCAGATATACTTTCAGCCAGAGATGCAAGTTGGCTTTTTTGTAAATTTAAGGACAGAATTATTTCCTGCAGGCACCAGATTCAAGACACTTTACAGATAATTTTTTTTTAATAGCCACATTACTTGTTTTCACCACACTGAAGCAAAGAAAGAGCATGTAATTGCAGTCATGTATCCAAAGACTAACTGTTAACAGACAGCTAGATCGGGAGTGATAATTTTCCAGTGATAAATTTGAGGATAAGATGGGCATACTTAAGAAATTTTTTTTCTTTTTTGAACTGTATACTTTTCTTTCTTATTAATACTTTGACCTGGTTAAGAAGCAGGAAATATTTCAGCACCAGTTTGCAAGACAATTGACTGGTATACACCATTGATCCCATCTAGGAATCGTGGTATAGGACTGTTGAGTAATACTGCGTATTAGCAAGCTCTGAATACTGAGAGTGACAGCAGCTTCATTCCCTGCAGCCTATTCACCCAACTATAAAAAAAACAAAGCTGATAAAACCAATTCTTTCAAGAATTCACAAGAAAGACTGTATTGGTACCATCAGACCCACTTCTGAAAAGGGCTATGTAGATACACAAGAACAGAGCCAGTCTGAGGCAATACTTCCCCAATGCATCCTCTTAACTTACAGAAATCCACATTCTATAGACTCTGGAGTAAGACATTATACCACAGTCTGACTGTTATGCAATATATATATATATATATGTACTTTCTTTGATATAACTTACTTTCTGATTATTCACAAAGTGCAAGAGATTTAATATTAACCCCTGCTGACAATTAAAACAAAAAAAAATTGGCTGTATAAATTAATGCTACACTAAACATCAAAATGTTTGGTCACCAAAATGTATTTGTACATTGCTTGAAGCAGCATCACATTAACACTGAGATTTATACGTAGTCAAGAGTGGTTTTATCAACAATGTTGCACAAAACTGTTGGGCAGGGCAATGAATCTATAGTCCAAAATACTGAAAGTTAACATACAAATATCGAAAGCACAACCAAAATTTCAACATGGAGTTTCATCAGGAACACAGAATGACCTCAACAGCCGAGAAACAACGCCTACACGTTTTCAGGCTCTGACCATACACCTTTGAAACCATATTTTTAAGGACAGCTCTTAGAAAACTCAAAGTTTCCAAGCAGGAAGACTGGCTCACCAGCCTCCAAAACAGGAGAGCCTTACCTATCACACTTTTGGCAAAAGAAGCTCGTTTCAGGGTTGCCAGACCAAGGTCTCCAATCTTGACTGATCCAGTGGGGCCGGTAATGAAGATGTTGTCACATTTTAAGTCTCTGTGAATAATGGGAGGAGTGCGGGTGTGGAGGAATTGTAAGCCTTTCAGTATCTGACGGCACCAGCTTCGTAGTACTTTAATTTTCATCACTTTAAATCTTTTCAAATACCTAATGAAAAAAAAGTAACAGTAGATTAAATAGGTTTTGCTAACAAGTAGTAGATTACACTGTATCATTTCCTGTTCTGGAGTAAAAAAAAAAAAAGCAGTAATGACAGATGCACAAACTCCAACTTCACCTTCTATTATAAAATCTACCTGGGCATTTCGAGATTTCAGAGGAGCTAAAGATGACACCCTCTCCCAAAGCCTACCCCTTTCTTCTAGCCAGGGGACCACACTGCTGAAAGTTCAACGTGAAATGCTTGATCTAGAGCTAATAATTCATTTGCATACAAAGTCACCATATGGTAATTAGATGGTTGGCTTGTTAAGTTTCAAATCACAAAGAGTTAAAGGCTTATTGCCTTACAACAATTCTTTATCTATTCATTTAAGAGGCTTTTTCCTTCCCTTTTATCCTGAAACTGCTTAAATAGTTACAACCTTTTCCTAATTTAATATAACTGGGCGGGAAGGTGGAACACTCACAACAACTAACCAAGCATGGAGGTGTTGCAAACTGCTCTGAGGTCGTTATACTTATCAGTATTAGTCCAAGCACTCTGGTCAAGGTTTCCAGGTTACACTTTCATTCTGCTTCAAATTTACTCGTTGAGTTGTTGAATAAATTAGAAATTTTTAGAGATGGCTTCCCTGGTGCAGTACAGGGTTTGATAACATGTAGTGAGTAGTACCTGGCAGATTCTTCAAAACTATGGACAGATATGGATGGGGAAGGGAAATCTTTAAGAAGACTCTACCAAATAATTGCCATGGAAGAGTTCATACCTAAAGTCAGCGTCCCTTTGCAGGCAGAATATGATCCAACCTTAACTGTTCTAACATTGCTGCTTTTTTAGATCCCACGTCATGTCAGAGGAGTCATATTTAACACCAACAATACACTCCAATGCTAGTGACCCAAGACAATGATCTTATTTTACTCCTTAACTTCAACAGATTAGAGATGTCACAAGCTGAACAACCTATGATAGGATTCAAGTGTTATCCAGCAACACATTCTCACAACTTCTCTTTGGGTAAAACAATTTGAAGTGAAGAGTTGTTGGTTTCCTCCTTTTGAAAAAGTAAGGGCTGGAACACATGTAGAGAAAGGAACCAGCATGCTGTGTAGAGCAAGGACTTTATTTTTATTCAGCCGGTGTTACTTAGTCAAAATCTCCGATAAAAACCAGTTTCACACCACTGTAAGACTGGCAGTAAATTCTGTGACCAGCACAGAGTCTAGTAACTACAATCTTAAACTAAACCCAAGTCACGTTCCATCATGCTGTGGTAGTGTTGGGTCTCTTCTGCATATCCACTTGATCAGGAGAAAAAGTCTCGATGGAGTCACTTGAATCAACACCAACATAAAAACACAGTGTATTAATCCTTTTTACTTTTAATTTCTCCAGTTCAAAAGAAGATCTAGAAAATCAAGTTGCTAGCAATAATCCTGCTGTGAAAACAGATCTGTAAAAGCAATTGGGACCCAGTTCCAGAAGGAAATAAAGTCTTAAAACAGAATGCAAAGACAGGCAGAGAAAAAGCCAAGCCAAGGAAGGAGGCAAAGGGAAGGAGGTTCTGGATCACATCAGCTACCACTTGAATTCTTGCTATTGACACAACCCTCATTCATCTCTCTTGAGCCTGTTCCAAAGATCACATGGTAGGGGCACTTCAGTTCAGCATCTGGAGTCCGTAATTACATTCTTGGTTTCAAATATGCTAGTCTACTGCCAGCTTCTCACTGTTAAAGGACCTGGGTCCAACCATCACCCAGCGTCCTGCAGTGTTGCTGTCATCTTTCCATAACACTGTTATGAACTAAGTCACGTGTCACTTAAAGCAGAAACTGATTTAAAATGGAAGCACATACATAAAAAAACCCCACAGGCAGCCCTACTAGCCGGTATGTTTTCCATTTTCCTAGTTTCATAGGCTAACTCAGCCTTGAAGAGACCTCAGGAGGTTCCTAGTCTAAGATTCTGCTGAAGGTCTGAGTCAGCCACAATGTGAGACACATCCATAATCTGGGTTGTATCCAAACAGATTTTTAGTATCTCCAAGGATGGAGCCTGCCCATCTTGGGGCAATCTGTTCCACTGCCTGACAACCACCACTAAAACAGCTTTTTCTTCCACCAGTCTGAAGCTCTTTTGTTTCCATTTATGCCTGGTCTCTAATCCTCCCACCACGCACCACTGCAAAGAGCCTGACTGACTCCCTCATACGCCCTGGAAGGTTGCTGTTGAGGTTCCTTTTGGGAAGACCTTTCTTCAGGATGACCAAGTCCAGTCACAGAGCAGGGACTCCAGCACCTGATCATCTTGGTGGCCCCTCCACTCAACTTCTTCCTGCTTAATCAATGTTGTTCTTAGTCAATGTTTAAAATGACAGGTATTTGAATAGAAGAGGCACGGAATACAAGCACAGACAAGGACACCAGGCTTTCTTAATATTTAGTTTCAATGAATAGAGGGAACAGGAACTAGTTTGGCTTCCTGTCTCAGGGTTGTTGTGGGCTTGGGGTTTTTTTAAGCAGGAAGGGTGCTGACCTATAGCATCTCAACTCGAGGAGCTATAGGAAACCCTACTAAGTTAGTAGGGATGTGTGTCCTACCAGATAGCTGACACATTCATTTAAAGTGCATCAGAAACACACTACAGCAGCCTTAGACAAAACTACTGGCTAAGATCTAGCTCAGATGGAGCCTTAATTATACTATTAATGAAGACAGTAATATTTTTAACAGGCAATTCGATTTTTTTTTCCCAATATTTTAATCCCATGATAGCTCACAGTATTGGAAAGCAGGTAAATCCTTTACAACAATTGAGATGTAAAACTTTTCCACTGATATGCAAGTTCAGGGACTCTTCTTCATGCAAAATTAGAAATTTGCCCAGGCAGCATTTGAAAATAATGAGTCCACAATATTTTAACATTATTTATGCCTGCAGAGATACACCTAAGTATACACAAATACAAAAAAAGAAGGAAAATTTACTTTAAGACATCATCACCCTTTTCTTCTGTTCCTTTTTTTACATCAAGTGACAACAATGTCTATGTGCCAAATGTCAAAATGAGGAACGTATCACTTACATTACATGCAGGTAATGGGAACATACTGAAAAATCATCTGAAAGTAATACTCAGTAAGCCAAATATCATAAGCAAATCTAGGAATATGACACATACTGAATGATACTAAATTTGGCCCATCAGAAGTTTCCCATACAGTTCACCTCTCGAGTCTCAAGTGAAGTGGTTAAGAATAAACCAAATCACAATTGTAACACAAACTATACAATGCTGGGGAAAAACACCCACACAGAAGTCTGCAGTTTAAAAAAAATAACCTTCAATTCCAGAGTCTATTAGTTCTTAATGGATAAAATACTTTCATACTTCAGAGTACAAAATAATCCCATAGCAAATCAGAGGTATTTCTCCCTACCAACACCCTACTTTATAACTACCTATTATTCCTTTATCATCTCGCTTATGCCACCACATAACAAGCAAATCCAAATATTCAAATTTGTGAAAGGGAGAACAGAATAAGAAAGGGAGAAAAAAGTTAAATCTAACACTATGTATTCTAACATGAAATTAGGTAACTTTATTTAAATGCATGCGTAGAGAGCTTCAAAATCTTTATTACGGCTCTGAAAAAAAAGGCACATGAAGCAAAAAAGCTATTATTTTATCTGAAATACGTTAAACAACCTCAAAAAAATCTTCTCTGAGCACACAGCTAAAAAGAAAGTGACAGTATCTTTAGCCCTCCAGTACTATTTCAAGAGACAAACACTTCCCTGTAATCACAGACTCCCAAAGAGCCACTTTTTTCCCTTCTTTAAGAACGTCCATTTGTGGTTATCAATAAGCAGCGTAAAAACACGCCACGTTCACAGGCTATTTTAACCAAATAGATTGCAAATTCTTTCCAGTTTCTACAGCCTGCTTACACATTTCCAATTTGAATGCCTCTCCAAGACTTAAATGGGCACTGAATTAAGATAAGGCCCTACAACCCCTGGATTTCAAATGCTGGCAGTTTTATTTCCAGCAGGTTAATGGTGAGCGGATGCTCGCGCACCAGCTCGCGGCTCCGCACGCTTCCACAGCACAAGGCAAAGGTGTGAGCTCAGTGGAAACCCCGTGGGTTCCCCACACCACAAGAGGGCCCTGCAGAAGTTTCATTTACTGATGTCTACTTTTAACTCTGCCTTAAAAATACATCTAACTTCACTCAACTACTTCACAGGTTGAAGCTGCAGGCACCTGCATACTTCCAGGTTTTAATTAAGTTTAGTTTTTCATGAAATTTCACCTAAACAAATACATGGTGGTTTGTTGTTTTTTTTTCTTTTTACATATTATTTATATTGTAGTAATATTATTTCTACTGTAGTAACATTCAAAAGCTCCCAGAAGATGTGCATGAATTCGTGCTTTGAACTTGACAAACCAGCTCGTGCTGAATAGTAGGCAGCTGGAGAGGAAAATGAAAAATTCTGAGAGGTGAAAATAGAGCATTGTCTCCCTGAGCTCTCAAAACATGAAAGTTTTCTGCATGAGCTTGCTAGGACATCACAGAATTGTAGTTGTTGGAAAAGACCTTTAAGATCACAGAGTCCAACCATAAACCCAACACTGCCAATTCCACCTCTAACCCATGTCCCTCAGCACCTCGTCTGCCCGTCTGTTAAATCCCACCAGGGAAGGTGACTCCACCACCACCCTGGGCAGCCTGTTCCAATGCTGGACTGACCTTTGGGTGAAGAAGTTTTTCCTCAGATCCAACATAAACCTCCCCTGGTGCAACCTGAGGCCATTTCCTCTTGTCCTGTCCCTTGTTCCTTGGTGGAACAGACCCACCCCCATGGCTCTACAACCAATGTTACTAACTTAAAGGATATCCTACCACACTCTGCTGTGCTAGAGAGACTCCTCTTAAACAAGAATTCCCCTACAGAAGTTCAGCCCTCAGCAGAAGGGTTCTGTTCTTACCTATTCTGAAATACAATCCATTTCTAGCGCTCTTGATTGTGTGCTAATGATTCTTACACACTTTGACAAGCCTTAATTTACTTACGTTTTTAATGTTCCAGATGTCATGAGTTCCGTCACAAGAACAATACACTTTTTTCCTTTGACTGTAGACTCCCAGGAATCGTAGAACCTGACAATGTTGGGATGCTGAAGCCCTTTCAGCATCCCAGCTTCCTCTTTAAATCTTTGTCGCTCTGACTTGGACAGCTTCCGATCCTAAGGAAAAAGAAAAGGTCCATCAGAAAGCTTGGCTTTATTTCTTACTTAGAGAAGCAGTAACTTGAAAAACAGGTGGGTATAGTCAGTCAACAAGTAAGAATCAGTTGTCTTAAATGCCATTTTGGTTGTAATTACCCTTAAATCCTCTATTTAGAAGACGTTCTCTGACAGTCTTTTTTACCATATATTTTTCCTTACAATCTGATTGCTCTCAGAGGCAAGAACTGCAAGTCTGTAGATCATCTCCTCTTCCTGTCTCCTCCTTCCCTACTCTAGTAGTCATCACCTGACTTGAGGTGGAAGAGGGACATAACATCCTTAAATATTCAAGCAGTCAAGAGTAAACAAAACTGGATCATTTAAAGCATCTCTCTCAGGTTGTATGTAACAATAACCTCTAGTTATCCTTATAACATCCAGACAACTAGTAACCAAGTGGATTAACCCTCCGTATAGGGGACAGAGCACCAAACCTCTCTAACACACCGTATGTACTTATACCTGTACAAGAACAAGCACATGAGTTGGATTTTCTTTGATTAAAAGTATGACCTTATGATTGAGCAAGTTTCTTGCGATCTAGCATCAAGGAAAACAAAAACATAACTCACACTAGGGACAGAAAGCAATCTTTTGGCCAGAGAGATCATGAAAAAGCGTTCCCGGATAATACTGTTGTGTTATCCTGGGCTGCACCCAGAGCAGCGTGGG